TGGAAGTTCTCCTTCAGCGTCGACATTCCACTGATATAGTTACTGACCTGCTCTGTCAGTTCCTTCTCACGCTCATGCATTTTAAGCAGCTGAACCTTCAGTTGCTGCTCAACCTCCTGCAGGTCTTGAATCCTGTTTGTTTCAGGTAAAGGTTCAAACTGGAGGAATTCTGCATATGGGTCATCTAAGTAAAGATAAATCCTATTCTTGGTATAGTACAATTTTCTGCCTCCAATATTCATTGGGTAGATCACCTGAATGCAGAAAGCATTGCTCGGTGCTCTGCACTGTAAATTGGTTGTGGTTAAACTGTTGTTAATTGCATTAATGCAATAGGTGTTGTTACCAATGAACCTGATTTTTTCACTTCTCGGCCGTCCCTCTGAGTCCTCATTCCTCCCATTCTTTCTGCATTATGTCATCAAAAGGCTTACTAATGGTAGGCTCATCTCTGCAGGCATCAATTAGTTGTGTGTTTAAATCATTCCCATCCATCACAACTGTTACGAATCCCCATTGCACATTATTAATATACGTGTAGGGTGTAGGAACAGTGATTATTCCATTGACTGGAATGGGCCACATCCTGGGACACCGTTCCTCACACCTTTGCTCCTGATTCATTCCCCACACCAGCTTACAATCACATTTGAAGTTCCCAATTGTATTGATGCAAATTTGGTTGAGACCATAAGGTGTCTTACTTCCTTTGCATTCATCAATGTCCTCACAACTACCAACTCCATTTCCCATGAGGCCTGCAGAGCAGTGGCATTGTTCTTGTCCAAAGGAAGTCCTTGAACACGTGGAATTTGCATGGCATGTCACGTTGTAGTCCTTGTACTGAAGGTATGCTGTTCCATTGTCATGCACCATGTATTTGCTTGCTGTGTCGCTGCAGTACGCAAATGCGAAGCATACCATGAGTAGGAAGGGCTGGATGAGCCCCCCTTGATCGTTTCTCCTCTGTGTCATGACTTGATGCGATAAAAACCTGAAAAACAAGTGCAGCATTCATTCTTATGTCAGGTTAACATCTTGGATTTTTATACAATTTGCATTGGTCAGCATGGAACATCTGTATACTGGTTCTTTCCTCCCTTTCAGTCTAAGCTTAAGATTGCCCTCCCCACAGGTATCAACAATTTCATGTGGTCCTGTCCAATTTGCATCCCAAGGCCCTTTCTGGAGGTAATTTTTGACCAATACTTGCTCCCCTATTTCAAATTTGTGGATGCTGGGTTCTACAGCATCATCACATCGTTTCTTGTTTCCCTGGTGGGCTACTCCCATATTGTGAGTGGCAAACAGTAATTTGTCTTCCAGAGTACTCTGGACATTTTTCAGAAACTGGTCATGTTGCACTCGATCTAGAATTGGTTTTGTCACATCTCCCATGTTGGGACGCAACAAAGGCATCTTCCTGCCTGTCATCAGTTCATGAAGGCTAATGCCAGTACTCTTACGGCTGGTGGCCCTAACGGCCATTAGGATTCCTGGTAAGTGACGACACCAGTCCTGCCCAGCATCTAGTACAGCCTTTTTCAAGGCTGTCTTCAGAGTCCTGTTCATTCTCTCCACCACTCTAGATGACAGAGGGTGGAAATTACCAGAGAAGGATTTTAGCATTTTCTCTGAAACACAGAGTAAGACTGCGAAGAGCCGTTAACTTCTTATGTGCAAAGGCATCAGTTGTCTCAAAGAAATTGAGAAACGCAGAAAAACAGGATAAAGTAAAAGAGAAGACATAACAACTTAAAATTCCATGTTCTGTCAGATAACCGTTAATACAGCACCCTAGCAGCCTGCTGACAGTTAATTGTACTGTGGCTGACTGTTTGTTCTTCAATGGCAGAATTTGTAAAACCTAGAATAAAAATTAAAAGCTTTCCTAAAACATAGCATTAAAGCTAACGATTTGCAAGTTGCAGTTTGTTGCACTTAAGTTGTTTTGTATTATTTGACTTATTTTATTTCAGAACATATAGGGGTCGATTTTCCCATGCACTTAAGTCAAAAAGCATGCAGCTAGGCCTACATGTTTTTTTTACTTAATTGCATGGGAAGTGCATGCCTTTTAGTTAAGTGCATGGAAGAATTTATCCGTAAGTGTTTATATACAGAACAATAAGTATTAAAGATGCATCTGATATTTTTTAAGAATGAATGGCTGGAAGATATTCAAAACTGAATATTTTCAGAGGCAATAGAAAAAATATTCCTAATTCCTATTCTGTCCCATTGTGTATGAATACAGCATGTTCAAAAATTTAATGGCAGTTTGAGTTTCGGTCATACTTCAGGGTACACAAATAATTATGCTATTACTTACGTATTAATTAACCACAATAGATGTTAGTTATAAACTGATGCTTGTTCATCATTAATGAATCATGATGCAACTTTTATCCCAAGCAATTATTATATTTGATACTATATCTGTAAATTCTGTAAATCTCAGTGAACTACTGAAGGAACCACTGTAGGAACAAATAATGAATAACACATGTAAAATACTGATCTCACGTTTGTTCATTGTTAATGAAATGTGACTCCTCATTAATCCCAGGTGTTGCTGGCCATCCCACCTTTCACCCCCTTTCTGAATACCCTTGTGTGTTTGCCCTGAATCCCAGACCGTCTCATAGCTCAGTGGGTTGATCGTGTGGCACAGACGCTAAAACCCTCGAGTCATGGGTCTGAGGCTGGCCAGTGACCAGCCTCACCACTCATTTGTATCTGTTAGCTTTCTGTTCCCCGGTGTCTTCTAGTGTTTATTATCGAATTGTGTTTTCCTGTTTTGGTTTATCCCAGCCTCTGCCGTGTTTTATTATCACTTATTATTATCATTTTGATAGTTCCAGTATTTCTTAGTATTGTCATCCTAGTGTTTGCTTTGTTTCTTAGTTTTCGGTGTTCCTATGTCACCCAGCTTCCATGTGCTTGTTGTTGTTAGTAGTTTCACTTGTTGCTTGTTGTTCCTGTGTGTTCTCACACAACCATGGTCAGGCTCTGCAGAAGTTTGCGGACTGGTGTGACACCTCATGTCTGGAACTAAACGTCAGTAAAACCAAGAAGATGATGGTGACTTACACCAACAAGCAGAGGGACCTGGCTGCAGCAGTTACCACCTTCATCCATGGTAAACCAGTGGAGCTAGTCCAGTATAAATATCTGGGCACCATCTTTGACCACCTGCTGAAATTCTCCTCCAACACAGAGGAGATTCTCAGGAAGTGTCATCAGCAGCAATACCTCCTTAGGAAGCTGAATTCCTTTGGAGTCAGGAAAGACATTTTCCGGTCTTTTTATTTCTCCTTCATAGAGAATGTCATCTCATTC